GGGCGGCGGCGTTGGTTTAAATTTAATTTTTATTTATTAGATTTTACTTTTTTAACTAAACTTAGGTTTCAAATTGTATCTGTTCTTCACTCTTCCCATCTCTATCCAAAATAAAGACAAAACAAAATGAAGCTGGGCCGTGGGGTGTGATTACGTCTACCGGAGCTCAGGAAAGAAGAGGCTGCAGAAACCGGTCTAGCAGTCAGCAGAGGTTCAGGTAAGTATATCTTCTTTAATCTAGGCCCATCATTACCATGGTGTGGAGTCTGTGGTGTCACATGGAGTATTCCCTGCATAACCTAAACATACTGTATATCCCACCTCAACCTAAACACTCAACCATCACGTTATCAAACAATTCATCCCCACACAGCTCCCTCCTCATGAATCACTTCCCCCTCCCTTTTAGATTGTAAGCCCACACGGGCAGGGCCCTCCTTTCCATCTTGTCTTGAATTGTATTGTGATTGTAATGTCTTCCTTATATTGTAAAGCGCTGTGCAAACTGTTGGCGCTATATAAATCCTGTATAGTAAAAATAATAATAACACTTTGACAGGTCATGTGATCAGGCTCCCCTCCTCCTGGCACCTTCTTCCCCATCCATTAATATGAATGAGGCTTCCCTGGCTTATGAATCCCTAAATGAGCAAAGCCCTCTGCACATTTATAACAGCACAGTGATGTTTTTTTTTTTTAAACAGCAATATGGCCGTGGTAAGGCCACAACACCATAAAAGCTCATTTACACCATGTGCATGGAGCTGGGTCGCTCAATGCAAGGGTAATGCATGAAACATGTGAAAAGCACGTGTCATGCTTGCAGTGCTAGTACGTGTTAATGGCACCCCAAACGTGCACATCTTCGCGCATATTAATGCATAACAAAGATGTAACAACGCGTGGGCAAAAGACACATAAAGCTTGCAGCTCAAACTGCTGCAAAGGATTGTTTTCTGCATTTGTCACGTGAAGGACACCCCCATTGAAATGAATGGGCTGCCCTACTCTGACACGCAGCAAAGGTGGAAAAATGTGCATAAACGTATTGCGTGTATATGTGTGCTGCAAGTGTGAATGGGCCCTAATGGTATAATGTGCAGTACATATTGGGAGGAGTGAAGAGGATCCATGGTGGACGATGTGTACCTGTGTGTTATAATACATTTTTCAGCGAAGCTTGCAGTGTGTGTGATTGGACTTTCTTTCTGTAATTACATATAGGGGGAAAATTAATGAAAACAGGAGAAGACAGTTTTCTTCTGGCAACCAATCAGCGTCTCTCTTCAGTGTATTCAGTTAAGCTTTGCAAATGAAACAAAGAAGCTGATTGGTTGCCAGAAGAAAATGGTCTGCTCCAGTTTTCATTAATTCTCCCCATTATATATACACAAGTATGAGAAAGGAAAATCCTACAGTGAAGATGTAAATACGTTCCTGACTCTCGAGGGACTCCACTCACCTTGTGTGAAGTTCTGTGTACAGGGAACAGACATGACACTATATCGCTCCTCTATCGCGTCCATGTGGTCACTATGACAACCCGGGGCGGGGACTGAGGAGGAGGAGAGCGGCCATATACAAGCCTGGTGTTCCCATTCTGAAGACGCACAGCGCCCCCTAGTGGCCACTTTCTATACCGCTTCTACTCAACCACCATTAGCGCTGCTGAGAAACACATTACTGGCTGTCAATGAGATAATAATAATAATTATCACAAAAGTATTATTATTATTATTACACAGGATTTATATAGCGCCAACAGTGTGTGCAGCACTTTACAAAATGCTGGGGACAGTACAGTTACAATACAATGTCAGTAGAATAGGGGTTGGAGGGCTTTGCTGATAATACTTGTCTCTGTTACACATTAAAATCCTATTTGCTATATACTTGTGTGGTTTGTAAATGAAAGTTGCAGGTTCTTTGATTTTATTTGTGTTTAGACATATTGGGGGGAATTCATAAAAACTGGAGCAGACAGAATCTAGAACAGTTGCTCATAGCAACCAATAAGCTTGCTTTAGTTTTGTTCAGTAAAGCTTTCAAAATAAAAGAGAGAAGCTGATTGGTTGCCATGAGCAACTGCTCATGATTCTGTCTGCTCCAGTTTCTTTGACTTTCCCCCATTGTGGTCACTTTTCTATAATACTACATGATGATACATTAAAAGCTAAGCTTATGCCATATTTTACGTTACATCCATATTCAGGGTGCAACATGAAACATGGTCACTCTGCCCACACAGCTGCGTCATCCACTCACAGATCCTTTGACAGGATCTGTGAATGGAGAAACCACAAGTCCCATCTGACACCACAGTAAAGTGACTTGTTGTTCTGAATCAAATACAAGTGACAAGTGAGGTGATGTCATTACTCTTGTAGTCCATTGATACTTCCTCCTGTCCATGTTACTGCATGTCTGTACCTCGCTTTGAATAGGGATAGGAGGAAGAGTCTGCAGGAGCCAGAGCATTGCGCCCGTGATCTACTGATTGTAGTTGCAATGATTTACTGGTTCCTATGGAAAAAATAATGAATGCACATTTTTTTTCTTTTAAAGGTGGACCTTTCACAAAGGTATTTGAGCATTGAGCGATGTTTTGAATACAATGTGGTACCTGGGTTCATAAACAAATAAATTCGCGAACAGGAAGTTTCGGAAAGTTTTCCATTCGCGAACTCCACATGGCGTGACGAACACAACCGCAGCCATCTTCCCCGCTCTGACACATGGTCGTGGCTTCCTCTAGTTGAGATTGCGGTCTGATCACAGTTTGATTCGGTTCGCAACCGAGGTTAGTTAGGCTCTGCGGGTTAGGATTATTGTATGGATTAGGATGGGGGTGTTAAGTGCTCTTTTTGCATGTTACTTGTTGGGGGGAGTTTAAGAGTTAAGGACACATTTGTAAAAGTTATGGTATGTTTTAGAGTTAGGGTTGGGTTAAGTGTTAGGTTTGGGTTGGGATAAATGCTAGGTTTAGGGTAAGTCTTAGGTTTGGGGTTGGGTTACGTGTTAGATTTGGGGTTGGGTTCAGTGTTAGGTTTGGGTTAAGGTCTAGTTTTGGGGTTGGGTTAAATGTTAGGATTGGGTTATGTGTGAGGTTTAGGGTTGGGTTCAGTGTTAGGTTTGGGTTAAGTGCTAGTTTTGGGGTTGGGTTAAATGTCAGGGTTGGGCTATGTGTTAGGTTTGGGGTTGGGTTAAATGTTAGGGCTGGGTTATGTGTTTGGGTTTGGTTCCGTTTTAAGTTTGGGTTAAATGTTAGGGTTGGGTTATGTGTTAGGTTTAAGGTTGGGTTGTGTCTTAGGTTTGGGTTAAGTGCTAGTTTTGGGTTTGGGTTATGTGTTAGGTTTAAGGTTGGGTTATGTGTTAGGTTTGGGGTTGAGTTATGTGTTAGATTTGGGTTAAGTGCTAGTTTTGGGTTTGGGCTAAGTGCTAGTTTTGGGGTTGGGTTATGTGGTAGGTTTGGGGTTGGGTTAAATATTAGGGCTGAGTAATGTGTTTGGGTTGGGTTCAGTTTTAGGTTTGGGGTATGTGTTAGGGTTGGGGCTGGATTAAAAAAGAACTCCAGGCAGAAACAATCTTAACCCTTGCACTGGGGCTCTATGCTCCGCCCACCAACCAGTTTCGTCACTCGGGTACGGTGACAAAACTATATATACATTGATACTATTTAACTGAATGGGAAGGCTTTGTTTTCACATTTGTATAACTATGTTGCATTAGTGATTTTGGATCTAGGAGGAGGGATGCACACACATGTTAACACTTTATGGATGAATGAAAAACAAAACATAGGAGTTTTTAATTTTAATTTATTTTAGCCAGTGTCACTTGGTTCACAATATTGGGGATAGTGTTTTTACTATTTTTTTGGCATAGCAGCTTATTATACATTCACATAGTGCAGTGGTTTTGTTATTACATCATCATCTTGCTGTTGGCTAATCAAGTAATTATCTATGCATTGTTTCACTGATGAAAGCTTCACTTTTGACCTTTGAAATTCTGGACAGTTATTGTAATTAACATATGGGCTTAGGGGTTAATGGCTATCCTTTAAATGCAGCGGTTGTTTTAAATAGCAGTAGAAACTTTATAAGTAATGTATTTAAATAGCAGTAGATACCATTGTTGTCAGATAAGTCCAAATCATTTTATACGACCAGACTAGACTATATTCAGTGAACCACACCATATCCCTATTATAGAAATTACGTACGTCTTTTGTTATTTGGAACTTTCCATGTGCTCCCTTAATAATGCACATACATCACCTCTTCAATCAATCTTTTCAATATATTTTGTACATTTTAAGAAACATATTTGTTTTATTATAACAAAGAGATGGGGTATGTCACCAGCAGACCAGAATAAAGTGTCCAAAATATCTTTATTGACGCATTCACATCATGTCACAAAGAAGGCAAAG